TGTTGCAATACGGCTATAGAAGGCAAGCAGATAGGATATACAAAGTGCAACTAGCATATGGAATATAGGAAATCGGAACATTCAATATTGTTGACTTTTAACGTGCGGTGCTGAAAACTGAAAAACGCCAGAAACATTCCTAATTCGAATGTACTATTGGCAGTAGGAATGGTTAAGCTTTACTCTTAAACAATTGTAGCCTAAATTCGGAGTACCTGTTATTTTACACGTCGACATGCACACACCACAAACTTTTGTACCGACTGTAACCATAATATACCGTAATCACGTCGCAGAAACTTTCATGGTTTCATTTATGTTTGCCGTCAGTTTACTGCTTATGTCGAACATAAGCAGCTAAAAAGAATTATCAAGGGTGATAAAACAACTGGCTCCGTCATCCGAAATCCATCAGGAATCCGGATACGGTAACACGCGGGGGGACCGATAAGGGAGGTGTGCTCAGGTTGTCAGAAAAAGTTGGCTGCACCCAGGCCATGCTTTTAGACGCAAGAGGTTCTCAATGCATTGACTTCTAAGTCTCAAACTAAAGGCAAACATCACTGCACTTTAACAAATATACAGTTGTATACTGTCCGAGTAGATGTACCTTGAAGCGCTATACATTGTGTTTATACTATTTTATATAAAGCATTCGAGATTTAATTGATACTGCTCCTCGAACTTTTGGAGTTCGGACGAGATATCGTGATATATATGAACCATTACTAAACCTTTCATCGCCCTGATAATACCTTGACTTACCCTGATACAATCATTAATTGCCCCTTGGTACTTGCCACGAAAAACCTTTCTTATTGCAGCTTTAGATTGAATAAGTAAATTGAACGTTGAATACTTAATCTACGGTCACTTAAATTAGAGCTTGTCTAAAACAAATAGCTACAACAGCACCAAAATAACATTTTGATTATGGCAATGGAGGTGGCTGCAGATGAGGCGATAGATATTTGGCTTGATTTTCATTACCGAAACATTGAACTAATAGATATAATGGCTTTAATTTAAAGCACCATTTAAATTCGTTTTAAAGTACTCATTTAAGACAGTAACACATAACAATCTATAGTATCTGCAACTTCAGCAAATCGAACGCCTTATTTGTATTTCCCTCGTGCATTGTCAACTGAGTTATTTAACTTACCGCTTCGTATGAGAACAAGTTGAGCATACAGAAACACTCCATTTTGTTATTCATTTTTTGCACAGTTACACACTGCCAAGCCACTACGACAGTTATTGAAACACGCGTTTGATCACGATATTTCTAAACAGCAACTGATACAAGGAAATAAGCCAAGTCCGCTGACGGAAAGGTCCGATAAACCAACGCACTTTTCCACCTTATTTCCGCACACAGTGAAAACTACTCCAGACCGTCTTTCACGCACAATCGCGATTCAACAAAAGCTGTTGGCATTTAGCCTGATCCATTCAGGCAACGTCATCAAACATAACCCCAATGATCCAAGTAGAGGCAGCGAAGCAGAACAAATAGTATCAGATTCCAACTTGCAGAAAAAGCTACCCAAATATGCTTCCGATTCCCCCACTGATAATCCAAAGCAATGGATTGACAAGACGAATGCTGCAACAATAACTGAACTGAAAAGAACCTGGGTGGTTAAACGAAAACCAGATGGAACCAGGTATATTGTTCGACGGTCGACTACGTAAGTTGGACGGAAGTGTGAAATACTCGCAATCTAAGTCACTGGGAACTACGTGCTTTCGTATGTTATAGGATTCGATCCCCGCAGGTTTCGTGTATGAATGGAAGATAAATATTACCCTAATTCAATGTAGAATAAGAATCGCATAGGTTCTGCTCAGTTATGAAGCTTATTATTTGAACTTGAAATAATTATATCATCAGGTAATTTAACAGGTTGTTTCACATACGGATGATTCTATGTTGTCGGTTTTTTGTACTACATATCAGCCAATTTCTTCCTAAGTAGCTTATATTTTATTATACTCGAAAAACTGTCAGACTTAAAAGCTAGTTGTTATTTGTGACGGCTGTCACTTTGGAGATGATTCGGAGTTGCTTCTCCCAATACTCACACCCCACAAGCAACCGTTTCTTCCTCGTTTGGACTCTTCAAGTCTAAAGAGTCCGAACTCTGGTGAAACTCAGGGCCTGATGGTTATTGACTGATGCATTGATTACTATGACACTGAGACCCGTGAGCGTCACTTGGCTCGCACTTTGCTTTTGCTACATTCACATTTTATTCCACCTCACTATATTGCACAATAAGCGAGTTCGAAAAGCGGCTTTAAAATATATTATAGTTATTAACTTTATAAAATCGCCAAGTTAAACAATTTTCTTTAATTAAGGCACTGGCTTATGGCAGAGAACAGCTGCTTTTCGTACTGATTAATCAGTATTTGAAAGTGCTGTCATAACTTTTGCTTGAGGTACTAGTGCTAACACCTCATTACCAACTGAGTATTTTAGCATTTAGACACCTGATGTCCACTCATTCCATGTTAAGCTTGGATACCCATTCGCAATACTAAAGCTTTCAACGAGCTGGCTTCAATAACCATTATTGCGCAAATTGGTACATTTTAAATGCTTCCATTTTTGCTATTATCAATTTGACAGAAGTCAACCTGCTATTTGCGGACCGGGTACTTCGTGGCAGTTTATGATGTATGATGGACTGCAGAGAAAGAAAACCAGTGGCAACTCGACGTCCACAAACGCAGATATTCTCACAAAAGATGCTGAGGATTCAAGTGGTAATCTTCAACGAACTCGGTCCCAGTCGGCACATGTGCCAATTATCTTCCGGTGCCAATGCAATAAAATAATATACAGCGATATCAGTGACACATGCTCATCAGCCAACAGAGAAACCGGAGAGTTTACCTGCGACATCCTACTGGGAACAGGGAAATTAAACACGGATGAGACACCTATTAATGCCACATCAGCAACCTGTCAAAATCGTGTGAAGCACCGCACACATAGTTCTTCAGGTTGCACCAAAAGAATATTTAAAGAACAAAACTGTTTTCCAAAAGATCAACTGCTTTCAGTTACCACACTGTAAACGAAGTGTGAAAATATCTTCCTCATACGTTTGTAACCTAGGTGACCTCGGTTTTGGTGCCAAAGCCCCGAAACATTGAATAAGCTGGAGTAATCCCTTTTACTCGATAAATTTTTATTTTACACTGATGTTAGTTATCAAAGTATTCATCTCGGCAGACGTTCGGTAGATGACCCAGATATATTTTGATTTCATCATATCCACCTCAAGCATCCTACGGGACGTGTCAAGCACTTGCTTTTATCCCGTGATAAATCATTGTTCATTGTTCATTGTACTACTTTAACCAATGGTCATCACTGCAAGGTAACGCAGTGTATGGAATTTCAATGTAGCTAGTTCATTAGAAACTGGTTGATAAACTTTTCACAGTGAGTGTGGAAGACGTTGTGTTTTTCTATCTAAATTCAATTGGTACACTTTACAGCCTAACAGGCTGCAACGAATAAAACGTTAGTATGTCGCATATTTATCGTTCGGTAAATCAATGAAGAAGCGGCTAACCTAATTGCTGCAGGATTAGAGTTCAGTAAATAAATCATTCTCTCATGTTGGACCTATAACCGTTTTCATTCGTTGGGGTATGGTTTACCATCTACTCTAGACAGGCGACGGATCGTTTTCTTCTACTTTTACACTCAAGTAGCGAATTCGATCTGTGTGTAACCGAGCATAATGTTCCCAGAAACACATTGGTTAGGACCCCGGACCTTACATTTATGTATCGAACGTTAGCGTAGATAACAAAAATGTATTGATATTTATTTCGCAAAGAACTGTGAAGCGCTGTTTTTGCGGCATTTTCTGGAGCAATGAACGTAGGAGAGGCACGATTAGTGGAACTAGTACTGAATAGTCCAAAATGCATTTATTAGCTGACCTGAGTCCATAACATAAATTTTGAAACCTAACTGTGCATTTGAACAGAACGGCAAATCGAATTCCAATGAAGCAAGCAACTTTTAACAAAGAGTATCGGAAAAATACGACTCTCGGGTATTCAACGCAAGAGCCTTCTGATACTCAGGTTCATAACTCATAATTAAGGCAAAGTTAAAGCATAAAAGAAATTTGTAACTTATATGTAGCTAATCCTACATTCATCCAGTTAAGAGAGTATGTAAATATCTGCCTTGTTACACCAAGATCTTTAATGTCCTTAGTTCTAAAATTGTAAATTCCACCTGCTTCTCAATACATACAACACAGTGTCTAAGTTTGACATGCAGAACTCGGGTTCACATGAATAATGCAGTTATCACACACGCCTAAAAAATAACAATAAACAAAATGAGACGCATGTTGCGTATTAAAATTTCTTATGAATAAGTAAACCGCTACAATAAATAGCTATTTCATTCCATTTCAAACCTATTTCACACTAGTTTGCTCAATTTCGGTTGGTCTTTTAGACATTTGAAATGTCTGCAAATGTTAAAACTACTGGCTGATTCAGATCAATTAATATAAAATCCGGATATAAATAATTTTTGCTGCAAATTAGAGTTACACACTCGTCATAATGGTAAAGGGTTCATTTTCACTTTATCTAAGTAGGCTATTACTCAGAGTTTACATTGGTGTGATTAACGGTTTGCCTTTGAAAGTAAAATCTGGGTTCTAGTTGTTAACGTTTTAATGAGATCAGACTTCTTGTTACAAACTCTTCCTTGCAAACAGTAGGTATCATATCGGTAGAACTTGTTAGCTTAAAATTCGATAAACTGCTACAACTTTGTTTTAGATTGGTCTGAAAGGACTTCTTTTTTGGTATAATCGCAGCTCTAATTTATCTCATATGGCTTATTGGCATCCGCAGGTATGTTCAAGCACGCCAATGAGTAAAGTGGAACTGAACCACAAATTGTTTTAATTTACTGATGAAAAAAACATTGAATAATTGTGAAGTACTATCCGTCGTTTCGTTTCATCACTGTTTTAAACTGATCTGATATCATTTGTTGCTTAGAAACAATTTTCTAGCCGATGTTTTCTTGAGAATATTGCGTTGAAGAACAATGAAAAGGGATAAAAGATTTGAACCTCGATTTCTGGGTCAACCCTTCACGAGATAGACATTAACAAGCTTAATGTCTACCAAAAGTTCTGAAGCCAACTTAGCTTCTTTTTTGAATTATGTTGTATTTGGAGTTGCATAGTAATTAGAGTTGAATGATATACGTAAATGCTTATCGCATCCAGACTTACCTATTACCTTCCCCATCTACATATTTCATCAAACACAAAAACACAAAATATACCGAAAAAGCATTAGGCTCTTTGTCACATTTAACTTACTAAAATCCAAAACGGGTGCAGCGCGTTCTCTGATCGAATTCCTTATTGAGTTAGCGTAGTAATAATTTATGGTTTGGTCAATGTCAATTGCTTCAGGAGTCATAGTAGTTAAAGTATTTGAAAATAATTTCAGCAAAGAGAATAGCAAGGGTTTGGATTGTATGGGACGAGATTCATCACAAATGGACTCTGTCAGACAGCCATCACACACCTGGAATAGCACCGCACGGCCGTTTTATCCTTTCGGGAATATTCAGCACTGCACATTCCATCAGACACATCATTAACTAAAGCCCGCAACTGAACTGTCTTTGGATAGCTAGCAGCCATATGTAACTTCAGTTATAATATTCAGCAACGTCAACTGCACACTTTACTCTGCAAGTCAAAGAGAACTAGGTCATGTGTCTGTCCACTTTTCGCTCCAATCAAATACAATTTACGAGTAATTGTATGGTGCATGCAAATCAGCGTGACGTTCCCTATTGCTTTGTTATTAGCAAGAATATTACTAGTGCCGCTTTAATCGAAACTAGTTACAAAATCGAAAGCTTAGATATGACGATAAACGCTACTACTGTACGGATAATAATGGAACACACAGGTGACGTCATATATGCTTGTTTGATGGCTATGAGTCCAATTTAGATTGTGCCCACTTGCGACAATGGCTGCGTCCGACCTTGAGCCAGTGAATGGAAGCGTTGTCCGGTCATCCAGTTGTGTGCGTCGCGCCTTGTTATGACATATGTATATCCGCATTAGTGCCCCATGCTGAGGCTGATGTTGCATTCTTGATGCTTCTTCACCGCAGTTGGGCTAAACCAACTTACACTTAAACTAGGTCTTTTTAAGCTGGATAAATTTCATTCCACTTTATTTGGTTTGTTCTGCCTACCTCAATACTCTTCTATTAACTGGCCACGTTGCTTACATTATTTGCGCTTATGTTCGGTAACTTTGTTGCGTTTGTAGCATTTTTAACTAACTTGCGGACATTTTTTCCTTATCGCGTATTCGTTGCTAACCAACTTACTTCATATGCTAATTTGGCAAAGTGTTATGCCACCGTATCTGTATGCATTATTGGATTTGTTTTATTTCAGCTTGTCGTTCCAGGTGATTGGCTGTTGCTTGATATCCCCAGTGTGGCTGCGCTTGATGTGCATGTTGACAAGGTGCCTACCTATCTATTACCCACTACCTCGTCCATACTGGCTCCAGGAGACAGTTGGTCGTTGCTGGAGGGGACGGGGTGCACGGTCCTTGTGGCCGTGCTAGGCTCGAAGAGTGGTTCGATGCACTCAGTGTGGAGCGGACTACGGTCCAGCCACCGCCTTGTGTGCGCTTGATTTCCCCAAATACAGCGTGCTTGTGTTTGCCTGTGAAGGAGTGTGGGCCGGCTCCGTTGATGAAACGTGGTTCCCATCCGCATGCCTCCCGGTCTTATTCCTTCGGGTTTACACTGGATATGGGGTGTGTGGTTGGAGCTGTGGGTGGTGCAGCGCAAGCCATCCATGGTCCCTCTGTAGGCGCAGGCGTCCTGTGGCTGGCCACAGCGACAGGCAAATCCGAAACCGGATGCCGCCAACCATATCCGCATTAGGAATGGAGTGAGATAAAGTGCAGTCTCAATTGGCTATGATAGTCACGTGCTTAGACACTCCGGTCTGGTCATGCATAGAGGCCAAAGGTTGTTTCGCAATTGCCTGTTGATCATGTGGTGTAATCTACATGGTGTGTTAATTAAGCTTTGCCGTTTTTAGGGTTGAAGGAAATGTGCCTTTCCAAAAACCTGATTGTACTGATAAAGCTTTAAACAGGCCTTACAAGATCGCATTTGCTGATAGAGCTAACAAATGCTATCATGGTGTGACCAAATGGGCATATTTATACACTGGACAAAACCAAAATATGTAAACTAGCATATAGTAGCAGCAATCATCCTATTGCAATCCATAAATTCTTGCACTTTTAATGCCGTTTACAAAATTTACTTGACTATCTCTGTTTGTACATCCCTTAAATAAGCTAATCAGCATCCACTTATCATCCGGGTTCGTTAACCAACGGTTGTCCCAAATTGCTGCCCATAAGTTTTGTCTTTAAACAAGAAGTAGGTCATTTCATTTTCAGTTATTCGTTTTCCACATATTTCACCAGGGTTGTAAAGTAAAACATCACTACTAAAGTGGAATCAACTAACTTGTCACCAACAGTAGTTTTTACAATTTTACTCTGACGCTTAAATGCGAACTTAAAATGAACTAGCGCATCAAATCTCATTAATTATTCTGTTTTGATCTGTTACTGGTTGTAGATTTGTCAGCCGATCTAGTATTTAACAAATGTCACACCCAACTTTCGTTTCTGTCATTCTAGCTGTTACTTCATCTTGCCATGTCATCAGTAAGCATGCAAACCGAAAAGCGATAACTGATTTATTGATCTCTTCAATATTACGAACTATGTTATTTCTAGGTGTCTACTGAAGAAGCTAATAGTTTAAGTGAAATTAGTTGGAGGAAAATGATTTCAAATTTATCGTCTGCATGCTTATGCTTAAAGAATCTGTTAGCCAGCTGAGCGTGTATATGCCAGATGTGCACAATACCGCGACTTTTGCCTAGATATAAATGTGATACATTACAACGTCGCACTTTCATGAAAACAATTCTCTGTAAGTGCCATCCTTTGAGTTCTTGAATCCTAAACACTAATAAAATAAGATGCAAACGTGCTGTGAATTCAACTGGTGCAGGCATAAAAATCTACTAGATAATGCTATCAATAGAGCGAATTATTTCACTACACTATGAATACGGTTTTATTGATTGCAAGGACCAAAGTCAAGTTGAAACTAAGCCGCGATCTCAATAGGGATTAAGTGCCACAAGCTAATCTCACGTCAGTATGGAAACCCAACTTTCTGTCGTTTTCTGTTCAATTAAAAAT